GAATCTCAGATGGATAGCTCATTTGAATTTTAAGAAGGATAACCTATTGGAATTTAAATCTTTTTGATATAGCTAGAAGCATAGTTCTTTTGAATTTTAACTTATATGTATAAGCTACAAAGTAGAATAGTTATTGTATTGAGCTCTATATATAAAAAAACGTGTATTCACAATTCAATACATAAAAAAACCACGAACCTATTATTCTCTCTCCTGTGCTTCCTTATCCCAACTTCTTCTCACCATCAATACCAATCTCAATCACAGAAACTACCCCATGCGGAGAAATCATGGCCTATCCTACTTCCATGGTCAGTCCATTTTTGGTTACATTCATGGAATAGTGAAACCACCTCCGAAAGAAGTTGATTCTCCCCATCACATTTCTGATGCTCTCTTCCAGATTCCAAACCTCAATATGAAACAGTGGCCTGGATTCCTTCTTCATTCCCACCATAAATGCTTCCCTCACTGAAACTTTCCTCGCTCAGATCATAGCCTACAACATCTCCTAAGAACTATGGCTAGCTCTCAAATGCAATATCTCCTCATTTCCTCGCACTCGAACTGTTCAAATCTGCATTAAATTTAAATATTTAAAATTTTTAACTTTATTTAATTTTTTAAGTTAAATATTAACTTATACACAAAATAAATTATTTATTAGTAAAATATCACTTATAAGTAAAAAAATTTATATAAGAACCCATAAACTGAAAATTTTACTTAGGGACATGTATATAACTTTATTCTTTTAAAAATCTTTCTAAACTAGTGGATAATAAACCCTGAAACATAGGTTTGATAGTTTTAAAAATCGCTACTAAAACCACAAAAAAATTGAACTGCTCAAATTCTCTGTTGGAAGAATCGATAGATTTATAAGGAATAGAAAGTTTGATGAGTGTGTTGACGCCGTTGCCCTGGTTTGCCTCTCTGCCATTCTTGAATACCTTGCTGCTGCGATGGGTTATCAGTTTTGTTTGTTCCCATTTCGTACATTTTTAATGTTCAGGATTTACTATATGGTTCTGTTGATTGAGGTTTTGAAGCGTGCAGGAAACGATGCCAGGGACAAGAAGAGTAACAGGATTGCGCCTAGGCATAAACAATTGGCTGTAAGGAATGACGAAGAGTTGAGCAAGCTTTTGGGAAATGTTACCATTGCAAATGGTGGGGGTTCTAACTAACATTAATCAGTAATTGTTGCCAAAGACAGCTGGCAGAAAAGAAAAAGAGATTGGCTCTGCTTCGCAATAGTTCTACGGTTTTTAATGTATTATTTACAGTGTTTGGATTGATATTAATCCCTTATTTGATCACTATTATTTGATACTCTTTTTTCTGCATTCTCACTTTCAACCACATATCCACACAATGTAATATTTTGCATGTAAATACAAAACTTTTCCTTACTTTTTAACTACACATTTTCCTAAACAACACTGTCCAAAACATAGTTTTCCAAGATAATGGTTGTCAAACAGTGGCTAAGGGTTTTGGTCTTCAAATTTTTACCAGTTAAAGACTTTTCTAAAATATAATATTTTTTTTTGTTTAATTATACGAGTCTATGTTTTTTTATTTAATATGTCAATAATCAGTTGTCTTAAGATTATGCGACTGAATACATAGATGTTGCTTGCTTAACTATTTGGTGGTAACTGGCATTGTTTGAAACATCGAATGGGAATGAATATTCTATTATGTGGCATATGATATATAAAGCACTAATCTTTGGAGTAAATTGGATATGAATGCCAATTGGATGTTTTATAAGCACCCTCGATTAAGTTAATATGGGTATTAGTTGCACCAACGTTGAATACAATTAAATTGATCATTTTTCGTTTTTGATCTAGTACTCAACATATTTGGAACATAAACATCAATGGGTTTCATGATTTGGACTCAGTCAACCCATTTGTACTCGTATTTAGGGTTTGTAGACGTGGTCGGACATTTCTCTGGCTTGTAGAACTCAGCGAGGATTCTTTATAGTAGATTTACTTGGTTGACGAAATCTACACATTGTTGACAGTAAGCTATCTCAAGCCATTCAGTTATATACTTCCCAGGTGGTAGCCTTACAGCTTCTCTCAGGTTTTCACTGCCTAAAGTTGCATCAATATGTTTTCTTAGTTGTACCATCTTAGTTTGCCATAACATTCTTTTGCTCCTTCAATTGCTAAAAAAATAAAAAACCCTAATGCCTCTTCACAAAGAAGAGGATAGAGAAACTAGTTTCCTCCCTATTATTCAAACATAGAGAAATTATTACCACATAGGGCTAATTACCCAATCTAATTTTGTATCTGCATTCAATGTCTCGTATAAAGAAAATTACTTTTGTACTGCTGGAAGTGGACCCTGGTGAAAGTAAACCCATATTTAGTGACTAAAAAGTTAAAATTAAGTAAAATTTATATTATAAGTTATTTATACCTAACAGAACACTTATGATGCACGTCCAACGCATGTGATGTATTTGATTATGTAATTGAATGTCTAATTCTTGGTGAATTTATATTTATATGAGATTCTTTTTTTAACTTCCGAGAATATTATTTACTTACAAGTGAAAATTTTCTTATAAGTAATTCTTTTGACTTATAATTTACTTATTAGGAATTTTTTTACCATGATTGGATTTTTCCTACAAGTTAAATTTCTACACATGCATAAATACACACACACAAACAACTTATTTGCTTATGAATCTATGTGTTTCAATTCAATTCAAAATTTCCATAATTTTCATGAAGTATTTGAATTAATAATATGGTCTAAATCTATTCATAGAGGGTATTATTTTAACCGTGTTGACTAAAGGGAGATTAGGACCAATGGCATACATACGCCTTGGCAAAAGTTAGGCCATATTTAATTCTTAAAAACATGAAATTAAGTTAAATTTTTTGATTGTGAGTATACATATTTTAATTCAACTAATTTTACTCCTTACTGTTCATGAAATAGTGAATTTAATATATGTTTTAAAGCGTTACATAGACATTATTATTCCAATCCCATTGACTATGGGGGTATAACACCCCATATTATGTTATTTTGGGTGTTAATTACAAGAAACGTTGAATAGGATTAAATTGATCTTACTACAACTGAGCATTGAACCATTCCTTCAAGTACTCAACATATTTGGGAATGGAAACTTAGCATCTTCCCATGTGTACTCATTTTTTGGGTTAGTGGATATTGTTTGACAGTTCTATGGTTTACAAAACACAGTAAGGGCTCCGTAGAGCAGATTCATATGGTTGATATCTACAGTGTTGACGCTAGCCATTGATTTATATATATCAGAGGTGGTTGCCTTACAGCTTCTCTCAAGTTTCCACTTCCTAAGGTTGCATTTTAAGCTACTTATATTGTCTACTTTTTTTAACAAAACATGTGCTTGCATGTACAACTCAAATGATTTATTTTTAATTTTATAACCAGTAGTATAATTGATTTTTTTATTCTAGGTGAATTTGTATTTGTTTAGTTTTTTTTATACCATATGAGACTTTTTACTTATAATTAATTTTCTTTTTAATTATAAATAAATTTTCACTAACGAATGACTTTTATCTTATAGGTAAATTTTCTACCATGAGCGATTTTTTTCTTTTCATAAAAATAAATTTTTACGTATATGTTTATATATAAACTTGTTTACTTATGGGTATAGGTGTTTTTGAAATGATTGGTAAAACGTTATTTTGAAGTTTTGATTACTTTAAACAATCATAAGGAGTTCAAATGAGCTTACTCAAATGTTTCTAATTTAGTTGAAGTGCAATGACTGATTCCTTAGCCTTACGAACATGAATATACACTACAACAAAATGTACTTTTTACGGCATGCATTACATGCCGTAAAAACCAATTTACGGCATGCGGCTGCATGTCGTTTAAAGCAATGCCATAAAAAGTATTTCCTTTTCACGGCCTGCAATGCATGTCGTTTGTGAACGCCATTAAAACCTTTTACGGCGGCGAGTTTTTTAACGGTGTGCACATTCACGCTGTAAAATGTAATGTATTTTTTTTTTGCGGCGAGCAAAATGCACGCCGCAAATTTTATTTTTTTTAAAAAAAATTGTTTATTTATTTGATTACCAATAGTAATTACCAAACAAAATTCCATAAATATAACCAGGTTTTTCATAGATTCCATAAATATTGAGTACAGTTTAATACAATATATCAATGTAAAATTCATTTCAATACTTCTCAAAAGTATATACCACTTCAGATAAAAAAATCATTCTTGGTGCCTTTGAAACTTCCTCATTATGCAATTACGACTTCTTGTTATTTCTTTGTCTTCTTTCCAGCTGCATTTATGAGAGAGAAAAATTTGTATAAATGCTAACTAAAGGAAAGGTCACTGAACAGATTAGGAAAATGTAAAACGAACCTTCTGAAGGTTGGTAACAATATCCATCGTAAGCTCTGAATCTATGGGTTCTTGATAATCAATTTTAGCTCCTTGAACACCCTTTGAGACAACAGTGTTTGTGTTCTTATCAGCATAAGGAAATTCCTAGAAAATTAACATTGATCCCCTAATGATCTCTATCAACAATGTAAGAGAAACCGCATATGTTTCCTCTCTTCTTTGCTAATATACATTCTACATGCCTTATGGACTCATAATATTAGGTGCCAAACTGAAAAGTGTACTTTTCTGGTTCCTATTTCATTTTCCTAAATAACATAATTCAGGTATGGAAATTAAGATGCATAACCCACAGTAAGTAGAAGTGAGTAGAAGGGTAAAACTGACAAGTTCAAGTACAAGCTGATTACAGGGGAAGTTCACCACTATCTGCAATCACAACTTTGCTTTTGGTTGTTCCACTCCAGTTGCATTCGGCTTCTATCTTATACACCACATCTATTCCGGACAGCACCTTTTCGAATACAACAGGACGATCGTCCAACCTGTTGAACATATAACTTTTGTTAGATTTTCCAGGCTAAATAGAAGCACCAGACAGAAGACCTGAAAATGGATGACAGTTTTCTCATAACAGCAGGATCATAAATTGTCTAGTTACCAGCTGGTCGTCACAGATGAAAAATTGTGAACCATTAGTGTCTTGCCCAGCATTTGCCATAGACCTAAGCCCTGAAAATTGGACAAAAATAATAAGATGACACAAAGAATGTTTCCCACAGTGAAACTCAGAAATCTGAAATCATGGAGTGAGGTGGTATTAGGGAAGGGGAGGTTCTGGGGCATATATAGGCTGTTCTTCTACCAGGTCTGGTATGTTTGATTTTGAAATTTTCATCAGCAAACTTCTCCCCATAAATTGACAATGTCTTAGCTTTTGAATGAAATCAAAGTAGGTCACAGTCAAAGGTATTGTAGGTTGTCATCAAAATTAACCCACATAATAAGTCAAACCTGATCATAATGGTATAACATTTTCAATCACAGAACAATACATTGAATATTCATAACTATAAGTCAGAATCAAGAAATTATCATGTTGGTATGGCCAACTCTCTTTACTGGGGCCTCGCCTGATTGCCCAGTAATTAGTAAGGAAAGGAGGATCTTGACGTTTCACACAATGACATGACATTGTAATTGCAACTTCTGCATAATCCATTCCCCAACTTTGAAATAACAAGATCAACTAACTCAATATACTTTAAAGAATGCTCCAATAAAATTAACATGTGACCTCTATATAGCGGCTAGTTGAGTGACATTATTTTCCAATCCCGCCCAGTTGACCAGGTCAACATATCCAATTGCATCAATTAGTGGGACTTGGAACCTCATATCTTATCATCTCATATTTTTTGCTAAAGCTAGGCTTCATTAGCTCATATTCTATAAGTTCTCCTAGAAATCAAATAAAGTTAAATAAACATCATTTTTAGATTTATGAAATAAAAATCCGAGTGAATTATAAACTACAAACTAATTGGATTATACTATCAAATTGAATTATTTATCATTTAACTACCGACCTTCAACCAAAATGCCCATTAGCAAAGCTTCGGTCCCAGTTTTTGGGTACTGAACTTCCTGGCCTCCTTCTACGCAATTGCAAATGACTTTATTGCCCTCGCCAACCATCTACACACCATTGTTCAATTGTTCTCAATGCGGCAGTGCCAACATCCAAAATAAATCTTTAAACAATAAAATTCAACAACAACCCATGTTTAAATTTTTAAATAAACACAAAATTGAAAAACATACTTAGGTTTTCCCTCAGATGCATTTCTCTCCAGTTTTCTGCAAACTCAAAATTGACAACAGGAAAAATAACTCAAATGAACAATAAATAAATGTGCATAGACAACGTACGTGAATGATTTGTGTCTTGGGAGGCGAGCGACGAGAGTGAGCGGCGCCGGTGGAAGGTGGAGGAGATGAGAGTGAGGGCTGAGGCGCCCTCTATCGACGGTGGAAGCTGGAGAGAGACAAGAGTGAGCTAAGGCACCTGTGGTCAACCGTGGAAGGTGGAGAGCGAGAGAGTGAGAACTAAAACGTCAGGGGAAATCATGGAGAGGCGAAGTCGATGGGGAAAAGATAATGGGAGAAATGCTGTGTTTTTAGGGCTTTGTAATGAATTTTTTGAAAATATAACACGGCGTGCTTTTTAGTGCAAGCCGTAAATGCCCGTTAATACGGCGTGCAGAGGCTGTATGCCGTAAATGCTCTAATTACTTGATCTTTCACGGCATACATACATCGCATGTCGTAATTGGTCTATTTTTACAGCATGCCGTAGATGCACGCCGTAAATGCATGCCATAAAAAGCTACTTTTGTTGTAGTGATAGTGTTTTCTGTATGTAACAATAGGATTTACTTTAACAAGTCAATTCAATTAACAGAGGCAATTATAGAAGCCTCCAAAAGTAGTTATGTTGTGATGCAAGTTTGCTATAATTACCATCCATTGTATATTTTTAGGTGCTTAGTACCAGATCAAGAAAATGGATCTGGTATGTTTGACTTTAGCCGCTTAAATTCTTACGTGTGGTTTTTATTTATTGTGTTTGAATGGGAGCTCACGAAATGCACTTCAAAATAAAGCTGCTAATGACATTGCTTATAAGTAAAAAAATATTTATATTTATAAGTAAAGTATCACTGATATACAAAAAATTTCATAAAAGAAACCATAAACTGAAAATTTTATTAAGGAACATATATATAATTTTATTCTTCTAAAAATCTTTCAAAACTAGTGGATAATAAACTCCCAGACATAGGTTTGCCAGTTTTATAAATCGGTACTAGAACCACTCAAAATTGAACTTCTTGTAAATGCTCCTAAATGGTACATTAAAAAACGCTAATAACCGGTATGCCAAATCTCCCAAGCAGGCCCTTAGGATTTACAGTAAAATTAAAATTTGAAAATGAGTTCAACTGGCTTCCACTAAGGGTAGTAGATGGAAGCCCAAGTAATTGAAATACTTATCTCGATCTCGTAGCTAGCCTTGAATTCCCAATTGGAAGAATCACTGGATTTTTAAGTAATAGAAAGTTTGATGAGCGTGTCGACGCTGGTGCCCCAGTATGCCTCTTCGCCATTCTTGAATACCTTGCTTCTGAGATGCGTTATGGGTTTTGTTTGTTCCCATTTCGTACATTTTTTATTTTCCGGATTTATTATATGGTTCTGTTGATTGAGGTTTTGGAGCTCACAGGAAACGAGGCTAGGGACAAGAAGAAGAACGGGATTGCACCTAGGCATAAACAATTGGCTGTAAAGATCAATGAAGATTTGAGCAAGCTTTTGGGAAATGTTATCATTGTAAACAGTGGGGTTCTGACTAACATTAATCAGTGTTTGTCGCCAAAGATAGCCGATGGAAAAGATAAAGAGAATGGCTTTGCTTCAGAAGAGTTCTACGGTTTTTAATGCATTATTTATGGCATTTGGATGGATATTAAGCCCTTACTTGTGACCACTATTATTTGAAAACTCTTTTTTCTGCATTCTCCTCTTCAACCACACATACACGCAATGTAATTTTTTGCATTTAAATCCAAAACTTTACCTACTTTTTAGCTACACATTCTCCTAAAAACACTGTTCAAAACATTGGTTTTCCGAGATAATGGTTATGAAACAGTGGCTAAGGGTTCTGGTCTTCAGATTTTTATCAGTTAAAGACTCTTCTAAATATAATAGTTTTTTATTCAATTTTACGAGTCTATGTTATTTATTTATTTATTTTTTGTTTGTCAATAATCAGTTGTCTTAAGAATATGCGACTGAAGACACAGATGTTACCTGCTTAACTATTTTGTGGTACCTGGCATTGTTTGAAATATCGAATGGAAATTGATGAAGTGCATAAGGGATTAGAGTTCATGGCAAAATGGGACCATCACAAGGCAAAAGTTGACAAAAGGGGCAAATGATTTCATGATGACTTTGGGTTTGCTCGTTTTTGGCAAATCACTAGTCTAATTTGATTGGAGCCGAGCCAAGGAATAAAACTCAGCGCCTTCGCCCCTGACGCAAGGCCAATTTCGGGCAAAATCCATCGTTTAGGCCCTCGTTTAATCGTTTTTGCTATTTATGGTAATTTTCATTTTTGCAATATCTCTTTCCATGAAATTCGGATTTAGATTCCGTTTGTTGGAGGATGATCCCGAAGATAAGTATTTTTCATCTTAGTAATTATCTCATATTTTCCATTTTTGGAAAAAAATATCTTATTTTATTTTATTTTATTTTCCGGATTTTCCTAGGTTTTTCTTGTATTTAATCAGTTTTAAGCCCTTAGAGGCAGAAGTTCTTGAATTCAATAAAATCTTCCTTGAGAATTTCTCAATTTGTGATTATTCATCTTCCCTATAATATTTCCGCTACGTCAGAAATGAATATTCTATTATGTTGCATATGATATATAAAACACTAATCTTTGGACTAAATTGGATATGAATGCCCATTGGATGTTGATACCATTTTGGGACTTCATTTCTGGTTTATACTGTTACTCACATTTTCTATATGGTTAATCCATGTTTTTGTCCGTGCTTGTGCTCGGTGGTGAATACTTCATTCCAAAGATGGTAGAAGTTGATTGTTTATACTTTAGAGCTTCTGGTGCTGTAATTCCCATCTTTTACATTTTAGTTCTTTTCATGATCGTCCAAAAACCCAAAAAAAAAAAACAAAAAATTACATACATCGAGTGACTTGCACATGAATCTTACAAGTTATATTAAAACTTGGAAGGACAAATTCTCCAGTTTTTTTGTTCATTTCCCAATTTTTTAAATAATTAAATGTGCTCATTCAGGAAGGAATTTTAAAAGAGTTTAGGCGTCCATTTCACATCTGTCGCATGTGAATTGCACGTGCACCACACGTAGTGTGGCTGAAAAGGATAAATACTCAATAACGTGATTTCTCATTTGATAATTAGTATTAAATGAAGATTTGTAAATGTTTTAGTAGTTATCTTGGTGATTACCATTCACCTTGATGAAAATTTTCATCTCATTAGTCCAGCAATGGGTGGTGATTATAGCACACTGCATCAGAATATAATCATTTTTCGAGGCTTCTGTAACAGCTTATGCACATAGAAAGACAGATGACCATATCTTTATTGCTAAATAGATGAAAACAGTATACTATATATGGAGATACTCAACTGTAAAAGTTTTTATCGAGTCGAATTCTACTTAAAAGGAAAATAAAAATCTAAAATTCTCATTATCAATCTTCATGCTACATCATCTATCAGCAGCACATCTCTATCTGCCAATCAAACTCTAGCATTATCTCACTAAATTCTTATATAGAACCATCTACTGACCACTTCATCTCCATAAAAGCCCGGCATTTTCTAGCAAATTCTAGTTTCCAATTTCAATTCCTTTCTAGGGTTTATAGTAAAATTCAACTGGCAGAGCCTCCACTAAGGGAGGTAGAGGGAGGCCCAATGCATTGAAATCCTATGCCTATCCAGTAAAGTCGGTGTCGAATTCCCTGCTCCTAATTACTAGATTTCTCAAATTTTGGAAAGTATGCCGAGCAAGTGGGTGCCGATACCCTAGTCCATCTCTCCACTGTCCTTGAATACCTTGTTGCAGAGGTGGGTTAGGGGTTTTATTTGTTCCCATGCCATACATTTTTTTTTTTTGTAGAACTACATGTCAACATGCTTGTTCATTAGCAGGATAGCCCATTCAAATTTCAGATGGATAACTAAGAAGAGTAGCTCATTCAAATTGAAGAAGGACAGCTCATTTGAATTACAGGTGGATAGCTCATTTAAATTTAAGGATAACTCATTTGAATTTTGACCTTTGTGATATAGCTGGAAAGATAGTTCTTTTGAATTTAAACTCACATGTATAGGCTACAAAGTAGAATAGTTGTTGGATTGAGCTCTATATAAAGAAAATGTAATTCACAATTAGACATATAATAAAAAAAAAAAATCACAGGCCTATTATTCTCTATATAGTATCATTGAGTCACTAAAATGACGAACATCTGATCCACATTGGTCTCCTCACTCTCCTTCCCTTCCTTATCCAACCTTCTGCTCAGTACTGTCAATAACAATCTTAATCACTTTCTACCCCATGCAGAAAGCTCAAGCCCCATCCTACTTCCATGTTCAGTCAATTTTTGGGCACATTGATGGCATAGAAAAACCACCTCCGACGGAAGTGGACTCCCCCCATCCCATTTCTGATTCTATCTTCCAATTCCAAACCCTCAATACGAGGCAGTTGTCAGGATTCTTTTATCCTTCCACCCATAAATGCCTCACTCACTGAAAATTTCCTCACTCAGGTCATGACCTACACTATCTCTTAAGAAGTATGGCTTGCTCTCAAATGCAATTTCTCCTCATTTTTCCTTAACTCAAAACTGTTCAAATCCACACTAGCTCGACAACACTAGGATAGACGCTATGTCCGCCAATGACTATTTCCTTCGTATCAGCCGCATAGCTAATGAGCATTACTAGCCGGACATTCAAGTTTGATGAAGTTATTAGTTATAGTCCAACCTATAAAATAATATAGTTGCACAATGAAAATACAATAACCATCACCAAGAGGAAAACACAAGTTCCATCGTATCTTAATTTGATCCTCTGAATGTTCTCAATTATATCCATCAATATCATTCATATCTAGTGTACAATTGCAACACGCATGAAAGAGAATGTCCAATAAATATTATAGTGCATGAAATGTACATCCAATCATGCATATGTAGTGGAGGTCCCGAGTATAGGCAAAGTAGGCGATCGTCTAAGGCCCCGCTTTGGCGAGAGCCCCAAATTATTTAAAGTTAATTAGCTGGTTGAAGAAAAATGAAAATTATATTTATGAAATTCTGTAAAATAGAAATATTATATGCAAACATAAGAAACTAATAAAAA